CAACCTGCTTGCCCAGGCGTTCGACTTCGGCAGCCAAACGATCCCTGTCGGTCCGGAGCAAGTCCCCTTCCTCGGTCAACCGCCCCGACTTCTCCTTTTCCAAGGTCAGCATCTCCCTCTCGGCGTCAAGTATCGCGGTCTGCTCTTGGAACATCCCCTCGGAGCGTTCCAGAGCGACCTTCAACTTCCTTGAGCTCGCCGTCAAGGCCGCCTTCTCCCGCTCGAGCTCTTCAACACGAGCAGCATCCCCTGCATCCTCAGACAATACCAGAGCCATTTCGGCCATTTTAACCAGCCCGTCCACGCTGGCGACCAGCCGCGACTTCCTCTCCTCCTTAGTCATCCTCTTTATAGCCTCGGCTTCATGAACGACCACGGTCGGAGGGAACCGCTCGAAAAAGCCCTCCTCCTCGAAGCAGGGGGGGAAGGCAAAGGACTGAACAGGACCGGTATCTTCCCCGACATTCGAACCGCCTTCCACGCGGGTCCTTTTCCTCTGCGTCAGAACGGCGCTGGCGTCAATCTCCTCGACCTCTGGATCCGATGCTGCTCCCGAGCTCGACGTCGAATCCACCCTCACCGGCTGAGGAACGTTCGTGCTTGGCGGTGGTCCCATTCTCGTCAATTGCGGGGCAGGCACGACCTTCTTGTTTCGCCTCTGGCCGGTTGACAATTTCAGGAGCCTCTCATGTCGGCTGGCCATCGTACCTGCACGAAGTAAAAGAAAAGTCAGTATCGAGCAAAACGCGTAAATAAATGACGAGTAAAGAATTTCAAACAAACAACCTAACAGGCGGGCTGCCTGCCTGTATGTTGAACATTCCACCAACGCCTTGGTGTCGATCGGGCGAGCCTCGAATGTCGGGTAACCGTCCTTGTCGAGGATATCATTCCCTTCCCGCGTAACCCATTGGGCGGGATGAAAACTGTCGACAAAGTTACAGAGAGCCTCATACGCCCGCTGATCCTCCGTGCACATGTCCCCGACTGCGGTATGGAAATAGCCGGTTCCATGCTGGAAGTGTCGGGACATCCAGTACACCGGGAACTTAGCCCGACGTCCTAATACGGGGCTCCCGTCATCGGTCAACATTGCTTCCCCGTCATCATCGCTGACCGGCCCTTCCTCCTCGAAGAGGGAATCTACAGCAGAGTCGGTGGTAGGGCGTACCACATACCACTTATCCTTGAACCCCCTCACAGAGTCCATGTACATCCTAAACAGTCTCCTCGACTGCTTCAGGGACACCCAGCTGTGCTTCCCTCCTCGGGACTGACGCTGTAGGTGGAAGACCCTAAAGAAGAGAGGGATGGTCGCCCCTATCCTTAAGTAGCGACACGTCAGCTCAAACGCCCGGATGAAGGCGAGAGAGTTTGGGTGTAGCTGGGACGGGGCCAGCTCCAAATGCGTAAAAACCCCGGTCTCAAAGTCTGTGAAAGGCAGCCGCAAACCCAAGTCTTTAAACGCGATCTCGTACATCGCAAAGCTGTAGTCCGGGTACATCGAACAAATTCTGGCGTTGGTCGACGGCAGCATGACCTCGAAATTCGGTTGAAAGTCGGGCTGGTCCTGCCCCTCTTCGATAGCGATGAACGGATGTCGGTCATCCCGACTGTATATCGACGCCGTCCCCCGAGGCTCGGCGCCCACCCATTCCAGCGATGGGTCGGTCACAGTGTCTATAAGGTTGGCCGACTCGTCGGCACTTTGTTCTTCGCTGTCACGACGACCGGAGGAGCTCGGCTCATCCGCCATGGTTACCTGCAGAGCACGGGAAACCAATCAGATTGAGCATGAAGCCCTATGCTCGACATAATCATGTCGTCCATACACTACCACAAGTCCATTTTCACAAGTGGATGCCTCCCCGACTCTCCTGAATCCAGTGTTCTTCCACAAACCAACTGCGCGGCCACTCTTCAAGCATGTCGATCCGGGGTATGAACATGGCGAGCCGCATTATGAGGCCCACGACCACGACCATAAACATACCGGGCACCGGCATGAGTCAGGCGCCCAGGATCATGAAGACCCCGGGCAGCTCTGAAGTTTTTCACCTAAAACTATGAATGTGTCGGCCACAAGTATGCGTTTGCCGGTCCTAGACATGAATCTGTCGGGCAAAACACGAGTTTACCGGGCTAATCCCACATTAACGGTCCTAAAACATCTACAATTTCCTAGAATCATGCATTCTAAAACAGGAAAATAAAGAAAATGGATCACTTACTTGGATCAAAGTTGGGATTTGGCTAAGAAATGAAGAATCTGAGACGGGAAGTCACGGTTGGAGAGAGTGTTGAGAGTTGCAACGAAGAGAGCACGGAGAACGGAAAACGTATTATGGGGCCCAAAGACCCTATTTATAGGGATGACGTGGAATACCAAACGTCACCTCGTTCAGCCACGGACTCCATCACCTCGACGCACTGCACCCAACGCAATGATGGCCCTACCCCCCTAGGGTGGCGGCACAACTCCCGAAAGATGCCTCGTGTGCTCGACTGACGCGCCCGGTACGGATCCTCCACGCATCCACCACCGACGACGTCTCCGAGCACGTCACGAGGAGACCCCTCGAGGGTCCACGCCTCCATCCCGGGCACGAGACCTCAGCGACGGAACAACTGTTTCAAGTCATGGCTCCTCGCAAAGGAACCACGACTTGGGGGGCTCCTGTTCTGGACTGGGCCCGACAGGCCCAAAACCATTACTAAGGCCCAGTCCAAAGGGACTCACTAAGGACCACACTGGGCAAAGGGGGCCACGTCCATGCCCGACACCCTGATGTCCACCTCGACATCTCGGTGTCCAGCCCCACGATGAAGTCCTGCTCGACAGCATGCCATCCAGCTCTATGTCCTGGCTTCCAGCTCGACACTCGCCGTCCAGCTCGAGGTCTTGGCGTCGAGCACGGCACCGTGCTGCGCAGCTCGACATGGTCACGAGCTAACTTGCTAGGGCAGACTTAGTCCTCTATTACCCCAACGATACTCCGGAAAGACCGCGTCTCCGTCCGCCCACATTTCATGCAGCATATCCAGGAAGGGAACCACGTGCTGGTCCCCACTACCCACGTAGAACCTGGCAGTTCCTCCATTGGGCCAAATCCGCCCGACCCAATGAAGGAACCTTGGCCCAGCGCTGGGGGCTATAAATACCCTCTGCTTCCAGAGGGTCAGGTATTGATCATTCTAACCTCAACTATATTATCTGCTAGTACTCCCACTGACTTAAGCATCGGAGTGCCTTGCAGGTACCCCCCCCCCCCCCCCCCTCCTCGTTCAAAAAGCCTTCAGGTCGGAGTAAGCCGTGACGGTCCAAACCTTCTGATCAGGTCAGATCAGTATCTATGATGAAGAACTGCGTAAGATCAGTACATGAATCTGTAGAAGAAACTGAAGCTGCCGGTTCAAGACCGCAAAGATATAAAATTCCATCTGCAGGCGTACCGGAAATTTCAAGTGTAACTGAAATTCCTGGTACTCCGAAAATTTCAAATTTCTGATAAATATTTTCTACCGGAAATTTGCATAATTTCCGATACGTGTGCTGGTTTTTGAAAATTGACATAGAAATTTTAAAATTTCTGGTAAATTGCAACTGAAAATTTTTGAATTCTCGATTAATTGCAACCGAAAATTTGTGAATTAAATAATTTCAGGTAAACGGCCAAAATCAGCACTGAAAATTTATTTAGCGTATCAAAAATTTCAATTTTTAATTCCTTTGACCATTAATAAATTTTTTTTTTAAAACAAAATTTAGAATAAATCATGAAAATGATATTTTGAGAATAATGAAATTTGAAGAATGGCATGGATAATATTAGAGGTGACAAGTTAATTTATCTTCAAATGAGAAGTACTCTTGAAAGTTGACTAACTTAAATCTGTTATATAAAAGCTAATAATAATCGGAAGTAAAAAAATTGTTTAGAAAATGAGATCACTGAAGTTTATTCTGTATCATTTAAGCATTTTACCAAAATTTTATTTTGTTCAATAGTGTGGCGGTTCTCGAAAATTTTGAATAAGAAATAAAAAGCCAACAAGCATGAGAATCTAGTGGTATGTCTTCATAGGCATTTCACCAAAAATATTACTGTCTTGGCAATCGTAGTTCACCGCTTATTTCACATGATATTCATAAGCAAAACAAAAATATGTCGTTCAGGTTTTTTTTTTTAATAACTAAAGAACTTATACTTCTTTACTAGCCAAATCCAACATATATTGACTTCAGATAATTTACACATGTACAAATGAAAAAATGTAAATCAACTTCAAGATTGTATTAGCTCAAAGAGTCTATGGATAAACCTTGATCATGAAATTCATTTACAATCTTCCTATATAATTGAAAGGGGTTAAGGTGATTTTAGTCAATAATATTCTCGGAAACAAGATAAAAACATTCAGGATATCAGAGTAGATAGAGATCACCAAATAATCTCAATAGTTTTAACCATCACAGTGCAAAGTCCTCACTTACTTCTAAACAGCCAGAAATCAAGAAAGAAAGAAGTTAATAATTTTTAACCGAGACATTTCATTAATATTTAAGGGGGAAATGTTACATAAAATCAAATATAATATGCCAAATTGCATTTAACAACACTATAACTTTAGACAGTAAGAGTCGAGACGGAATGACTATCTCCAGAGAAATAGGCTAGAAAGCACCTCAAGTTCTAAACAGGACACAACTCTCAGTGCCTTGAGAGGCAAAATTTGATTGACCTTTTTCATACACAAATATTTTGTACCAATATACATAAACCACCTAAATAAATAAAAAAAAAAGAAAAAAAAAAAGGCATATATGTCAAGCCAGCAAACAGACTTCAAATTTGAGCTATAAAGTGATCCCATTTGCTCGAACCATATCTTCCTCTTTTGAAGGAATCAAACATGAAAATTGCACTAGTATTACAGGATGTGAACAAAAACAATGGGTTTTGTGCGTCACCTTAATGGCCACTGACCATTTTTTGGCTTCATAAATCACGAGGAAAATTACTGATTTGTCCTTCCTCCAGCGTATCTTTTCCATTTACCTTGTATGCTATCCTTATGCGCATTACAAGAGATTTCTGCAAAGAGTAGTTGCTAGCTGTCAAGTCTTCTCTAATAAACTGATGTACACACACACAGATATTTACAGCATTTTTGTGACAACATGCCAGGGATCAACATCCCATTTAGAGTTCAAAATAATACAAGGTGCATTATAGAATACAGATATTTACACTGAAGCAATACCAATAAAGGATATCTACCTTTCCATGTTGGCTATTAGTAACTCTCAAAGTTTGCGTGATGGACCCATTTCCAGCAGCAGGGAGAGTATTGCCACTAGCTGGATCCAAGTGCAATTGAAGAAACTGAAAGTCAAAATAATTGGATCTGTAAGTACAAGATAATGGAAGGTATCAAACAACTCCAAAATAAAAAATGAATATCCAGCAGAAAAACCGGTGAAAGAGCTAATTAATTATCAAACAATAACGAGTAGTTTTAATTATTTAGCACTAAAAATCAGATAACTAGTTTAGACTGATACAAAGGAAAATACTCAATAATTTACAGCTGCAAACATTTTTATTCCATCTCTAAGGAAAAGAACAGCCCACAAGTTCTTTCCTTATGTTTTGTGATTTTCACCATTAAATGTAAAAAATGGAATGAAAAGACAGTAGCCAGCAAAAATTTTAAAACACGCGCTGGACCTCTAGTTCACAGAATAATTTTGAAGATAAAATGCAGTAAATCCATATCACACTATCAAAGTTACAGTAGTGGTAATGATAATGAGGATGATCTTAGCATTATACGTAGACAGCTCAAAAGTATATTGATTGGCATACCTTAGGAACAGCTGCCTGGAAAACAAAATCTGTATATGTATTGGAGGACAAATTCATAAAGGTAGCCTGGATAGCTGTTGTTTGTGGGTTTCCTGGCTGTTTTGTGAAATTGAATGTCAACCTCAAGGAGCTGCTCTCAAAAGCAGTTATAGATGGATAAACTGATCCATTGTTTTCTATTCAAGATAAGAGTAGGAGGGGGGATCAGTATTTCAACTATATTTAAAATAATGATAATACCCAAATTATAAACAAAGAATACAACCTGCTGGCGGGGTGGAGGAAATACCATCCAATAAATCCATCATTGGACCAGCATTTGAAGTAGCTCTTGAAGAAAGTGAAAGTGGTGAGAGATCATCCAATGGTGAAACGGATGCTTTGTTACTAATATTTGAGGATAAGATGTCTACTGCAGATGAGTTGCCTTGGGTAGAAGGTGATCCAATAGACAAAAGATCCAAAAGAACATCCGTGCCACTTTTTGATCCTTGGCCCGTACCTATAAATTCAATAAAAGCCAGACTTGCTATGAAAATGATCAAAATTTTACACGTTTCTTCAACAAAATCAAACAACAATCACAAGGCCTTATTCCACTAGCTTTTGTTGGCTACGTCGATCAAATAATGCCATCAACAAGCAACAAAGTCTAAATTTTAAATAAGCCAATTTAAGGCACGGTCCTTCTTAATGCTTTTTCTCCTACAGACTAAGGGTTCAAAAACTAGGGATTACTTCATGAAACAATTCACTGTCTTTATGAAAACAGTACTAGTTTTACCTATGAGTTATAAACAAGGACTTGTAAGCAAAGATGGTAATCATTAAATCCAAAATGTTTGGTTTTTTGGACATTATAATAATTATAACATGCACTACAGACACCAACCTGATTGTTGTAATGCTGGTGATAGATCGACACCGAGAAGGTCATGAAGAAAATCGCCGCCAGAAGAGCTAGGTACTGGAACATCATCTGAACTTAGATCAAGTAGATCTACAAGAGGGGCTGCAGGTTTGGCTACCCCATTCGGGAGATTAACTGAAGGTGCAGTTGCTGTAGAAGTGGCACCTGGCAAAGACCCAGCCCTCCTACCTATGAAAGTAGCCTCATCCAAAACCGGCATCCTCTCTACAAGTGTTGATCTGCACAATAACAGTTTCTCATAATAGGATCCCTCTTATTAGAGTGTAGCATAAGCCAAGTTCTTAATATAATAGAATATGCAACTTAATTAAACTCACCTAATATTTTGATGCTTAGCAATAACCGAATTGAATTCAATAGCTCTCTGCTGCAATTCTAGCTCAAGGTTTCCTTTGAGCTGTACAATAATTTCCTCGATCCTCCTATATACATATTCAAAGGAGAATAAAATTCCCATGTCAAAATACAAGAAGAAATAAGCTTGTACTAGGCAAACAATTGGTTGGCATGTCTAGTAAGTAGAAAGGGTTGCGGACGGAAAAAATTCCCCTGATTTGTTATAGAAATTGTGTGATGAATTTCCACTAGAATATTACATTGTAGATTCCTCTTTCATAAAGAGACGGGGAAAAAGATACAAATCTTTTAGAAGTAAAGACATTCATGAGCCTTCACCTTATTTGTTTAATTGCTTAGAAAAGTTGGTTCTTGACTAGCTATCAATGCCTCTGTCCATCTAGTCATGAGTGTAATTCTTACCACTTCCATTATTCTAAATAAATTATGAATTTCAACCCAAGGTAAAGCTGGCCTATGCACTACCTACATTTCAAGCCCAGGGGAACTTAAGTGAAGGACAGTGTTATCAGTGGAGGGTGACAGATTGATTGTGGCAGCCAGCCAAAAATTTGCACTGTAAACATGGTGTTGCGGCCTACGGTGGCTGGGGCAAAAAATCTTGCCATGGTGGAAATTTGACAATACTGGCAAGGCAGTGTACTAGAAATCACTCAGGAGCATTCATCTAACAATTAAGTTTTGTGCAGATTTAGCTCTCAACAGATAATAATTTCTGGTATGATGAAGTAGATAATAAATAATTTTAAAAGACGAGCATACTTTGAACAAGAAGGGAAACGTGAGGAGAGCTTTAATAAGGCAACCAAAGCCATTGCTTTTGTGGTAAGATCTGATGCATGACGTTTTATAGCAATCTCTACAACATCCACTGTATCTGATTCAGTCACCTGGTAGATAAAACAATTAAAAATAAAAACCATAATGTAAAAAATTTAAAAAGTGTATGCAATAAAATATCAAATTTGCAGATTTTCCTATGTTCTTCTGTGTGCAAGCAGACTTAAAGACATCAATAGTCAGGAGTCCAGCCATTGTTTTCATTAAGCTGCATAAATCTTACAAAAAAAAAAAGACAGTGGGCATGGGAATCGGTTCATTCCTCTGAAATCTGAATAAAACACTCCAATAAGCAACAAAAAAAGTTAAAAGAGGCAAGTACTCATCCTAATGTTTAGGGTTTAAGCACCAATCACATATTTTGCCCAGGTTCATTAAAATAGAAAATGACATGGAGCAGCTTCGGACAGAGGGTGCTTAAATACACTAATAACACAAGTAAAACAAATCTCAGTGCTTAGTTCATTTCCTTGCTAAAAAAATTGGGATCGAAGTGTATATGAGCAAGTAGGTGAAACTGAAGGATTTTGTTTCTATTTGTTCGTTATCAACTATCAAAATATGAACCATACAAAAAGCAGCCTCATTAAAAGGGCACTGTTAGAACCTCTTCTGAGACCAATCCTTATATCAACTATATAATATATTGCTTGAGGTCGTGCAATTGATCATATTCAAGCAACTTGAAGCAATAGTTTACATGTATTTAAAACAATCAATCATAACAATCTACTCACAGTTATTGGATCTTCTACGTCAAGCATTCCAACATTATTGACCAACATGTCACCATACTCCCCAATGCACCACACTGTAACTCGAACTAGAGTCTCCTGAAAAAATAAGTATTAGCCTATTAGGTGGTGCTACTATATAAACATCACAAAAGCAAATCAATAGTGAGCCTAGATTTTGTCAAAGCAGAAATGAGCACCTGTTCAGCAGACGTTTGAAACGCCCTGTATAATGCTCTTACTGTGTATCCATGAAGATCGGAAGCATTGCTTATCACAACAATTAAGGCATACCACACTTCATCATTTACAAAATTTCCAGCCTACTAACATAAGATAAAGATCAGTACATGCACTCAATAAACAAAAGCATGACTCAATAAGGAGACCAAAAGCACCAAACAGTAATCACAAATAATACGGGGCATCCTAATGCACAAAGCTCCCACAATTGAGAGATCCCGGGAGGGTAAGATGTACATACTACACAGCCTTGCCCTCACAAGCAGAGAATGTTAGCGACTAAAAAGTGTGAACACAAGATCACAAGGTAGCAATGTTACTCTCCGCCAAGGCACACCTCGGCAATATCATAATACACCACCAAATTTATTATGTGAATATTTTGTGACCGACACAGAAGCGGTCTAACTCTGGAGCAAACAAATAGATAGAGGCATGGAATCATATATAGACCTGAATATAAAATCGTATAAAATGATAATAAAAATCATTGATACCAGCATGTGTGGCAAATATCATTTTTTTATACCTCAGACAGAACCTTTAGCATCTGATCAATGTACCAGATCTTATCGGGCGAAAACCTGAAGCAACAATAATGAAAACTGATAGTCAAACTCATGACATTTATGATGGGTACTTAAAGAAATTGTTCTAAACTGAAAGGGGGCGACTAAGATGTGGACCGTGTGAAATAAGCCACGTGAATTGTTTTATTTTTACTAAATAGGAAGAGAAGAGGGGAGACTAAGGAACAGAAATAGCCAAAATGCAAAAATTGAAGACCAACACAGTTTGTATGTTTGTTATTTACTAACACAACAAACAGTTATGTAACTTCTAAAAGAATTAATGATACTAAAACATGTTCCTGTGAGGAATTAAACCATCATATATTGATGGAATATCATAAGTGGTCCCAGAAATGACTGGATGTGAAAAATAAATGAATTAAATAAAGTGTGGTGTGGCTACTCTAACATCCTCCCCCCCTCTTTTTCTTAAAAAAGACAAATGATACTTGAAAAGAATGCCATTTAGAACCCTGTGACTCACTTTGCAACTATAGAGCAAATTTTGGTAGTAAGGTCCCCTCTGAAATCAAGATCACTGACTTCCAGATAATCTACAAGCTCTTTCACTAATGGTTTCACATTAGTTTCATTCACCAGAACATATACAAGTTCAAGGGCTCTTTTCCGAATTGAAGCATCTAAATCCTGAAGCAAAGAGTCCAGTCATTTCTCTGGTTGCAAAAACTCATATTTGACATTGCATAAGTAATAACAAAGAAAACAAATCAAATACCTTTACACATTCTAGAATTGTCACACGGTGCCTCTGTACTGCCTGAGCATCAGCAGTTACAGCCTTCATAAGCATGTTTAAAGCCACGTATCTGAAGGAAGAGGGTAGGAAGAGTATGATTCACTACAATAATGAAATATGATATCCACAAAACACAAAATTAAATTTAACAAAAGTCTGTCAACTGATAAAAAGTACTGAAATAAAATAAATGTGAAATCAAATTGTCAGTAGATAAGAAGTACTAAAATTAAATATATAAAAAACTGAATAGGCACACAACTTGTTTTATAGCCGAATTTTGTTTTTCGCTTCTTCTCTAACTGCAAGTTCATCCTTTTTAGTAAGGTAAAAATTGGATTGTTCCAATATATGACTGCCCAACTAACTATACCTCCTCTCAAGAAGCATCCACTCATCATAAATATGCAACAGAGAATGCAAATACATCAATCCATTACTTTGTATACCACACCAATCAGTCAGACACACGTCACAGACACACACACACGGTAATAACTTATAGGCATTGTTCAAGATTCTATTTTAAACACACATGCACACAATCACAAAAACACACACTTACAAAAATTCATAATCCAGTACACCCTCACCTATCAAAAGACATTCAACAAAGCGGGAAATGTTGTTAAGAGTATCAGGTATTGGGCCATAATTTGTGTATATTATATATAGCCTTGTAATCTATAATAATATTCTCTGTTGAGTAATAAAATACAACTTCTACAAGCATGTAGTAATGGTCAGTAATAGATACAAGGATCATTGATGTGCCAGTTCAAATAAGTGTACTTGATCTAAAATTGCAATCTTACAAGGACTATCGTTAAAATTGATTACTTCTCTATATTCTCTAGTCAAAATACTGGTTTTGGGCCATAGAACAAATAATCTCAATATCCTAACACAAAACAAAAGGAGGTTCCCAGTCACTTGCCGTAGGAACTATGGTTGAAGGTTGGAAAAAACGAGAATGTTCTAAGGGGCAAACTATCAATCTGACTGATCAAGAACACGACCTAGATTCTTGGACCAAATATCAATATTTGGACTGCAATCAGGAATCCTTCCATGGTTTGAGGAAATATCTTAGACTTCTTATAGTGCTTAAAATTTGTTTCTTTTTGCTTATATAAATCATAACCTTAAAAGGTGAACAGTCAATGTATTGGTGTTAGTCTTAATCAAGTTTTTCAGTTACTTATCAAGGAAAAGTAATGACCTGATATTGTTGTCACGGTTTGACAAGAATCTTCCGAGGATATTGATGGCAAGTACGCGTAAGCCACCGTTATCTTCAATGCTCATTATTGTTTGAACACACTCATATAAAATGGCATTCCCTGCAACTTTATTTGACTCGGTTTTTGTTGCCACCTATAACAGATAGCAAACTTATAATTATTAACCTTAAATTTCAGAAAAGATGGGCACTAATAAGCAATAGTACAATAAAATCATTGACACGTTTTTACCTGCATTGCACAGATTTCAAAAGTAACAAACAAATCCAAAGAATATTGATAGAATGATATAAATCTTTATGACTGCAATAAGTGGTTAACACTATTCACGACGAAAATTTAATTGGTGAATTGGCCTAATGGAGATTCTAACAGAAGTAAATCATACATATAATAACTAGTTACTAGCCCCACGCGATTCACATTTTTTCTAATTCAAATTTTTATATATTTACATAAAACTTATATGGATCAAGACTTGAAATTTTGGATAGTTTCTCAGCATATATTATACTAATTTGGGTTATTTAGTGATAAAATGATAGAGATTATCAGAAATCGGGAATGTAAATTGAATTCAATGAGAAGATATTAGGGAATAACTAGTTCGAATTTGAATTTAATATGTTCATATTAGGGGGAAATTAGGAATTTAGGATAGGCTCCAATTGGGATGAATTTTATATGAAAAAATGGGGGAAAAGGGAAACTATAATTAACTAAAGTGGCACTAATGATTATTTTACAATAGCCCCTAAAGGAGTTAAGATTTTGTCCCCGAGGTTACAAAGATGAGCTCACATCTCATGAACAAATAGATAAGAGAGACATTTAAAGGATCATTTATATTTAATATATATAGGAACAGGTTATAGGGTATACAAACATTTGAGTAATCCCTAGCAAAAACAAAACATCATTTATTGAGTAATGTACAACTAGACACGAGCACACCAAACTCCTCCTTTTCCTTGAAACAATCCCCAATAATTATTCAAAGAATAAGATATAAACATGTCTAACAATAGTTTGTGGCTTGGTATTCATTTTGTCTGGTGGGTTGGGCGCCATTTTTGTCTCAAATGTGGTCTAGACTCAATCTGGTCTTGATTCTTGTTCCAGATCCAAATGCAACAATCTGGCCCTACCCATTTTTGTTCTATTTCAAAAAATAAATCTGTAACAACCTTTGAGCTTAGTGAATTACAACTTGAGGGGGGACTGGTAAAAGATATGCAAGTAACTTATCATATCTTGATATTTATTTAGAGCATCTTAGATTACCTCATAGGATTAGATCCTTATTCTAGAATATCTTAAGATTATCTCCTAGGATTAGTTTTTGTATTTGTTATTATCATGATTTGTTTTCCTATTAAATTAGGATTTCAAGTATTTTATTAGTATCTTTCATTTATCAAAATCAAAGTCATCAATCATGTCAAACCATATATGAATAAACCAAAGTCTTTATTTCCTGTCTCTCTCTATCTCTCTATCTCTCTATCTAAAACCTTATAATTGTAATTTTAACACCAAGGTTTGCCATCACATGGAAGTGGAAAAATATCCTAAAACCATATACGGTTTTTAACATACAATGTCATTTACACTGCAGAGCTGTGCAAAATGACAAATAAGCAACCATTGTAGCATAAACATTATAATAATATTATGTCATTAAAATAACAGCTTACACATAACTGACCTGGGCAAGTATGTCATTCATAGAGTCACTAGCATCTACATCACCTTCACCCAACACTCTCAAAAGTTTAAGCAACCTAATGTGGAGAAATGGATCTGTGATGCCAGCAATATCATACTCTGGTGAATAAGGACTGTTCGCAAGATCTTTGAGAGTTCTGACCAAACCATCTGTGCATTTCTGTAATAATTGTTAAGAATATGTGTCACAACCAAAGCTGGCCTACAGTCAAAGCTCTATTTGCAGTGTTTCTCATACAAAAATGCCATGAGTAACTTTAATATCATAAAGTCATACATACGAACCCTCTATTTACTTTTACAATTTTTATAAACATATGCTATTTATACAGACAGATTTGCTTGCAAACTAAAATTCAGTGTTGTGCCCATTGAAACGATAAGATAGTCACTGAAATCACGAGTTTTATAGTGATAATGATGATGATAACAATAACAATAATAATGATAATCATAGCTCATGACTCATGAAAGTACCTTAAACACTAAATTAAAAATTAAAAGCATTTCAAATTATATTAAGTAGTCAAATAATTGACTAATCCTGAATTCCAGAAAATAATTTCATTAAATTTGAGACAAACATTCCCAAACGCCAACATGATTTCAGAAGTAAACATGCAGAATAACATATTTTGTGTCGTTTGGGAGTACTATGTCGTCCCAAAGCACACTTCTGAAATCATGTGTGATTTTTCACAAATGTGACGGGTGGGGAAAGCTTCCCCATAAACTTATCATAAATGTCATAAACCATCTATCTCAAAAGCTATACCACCTAGGTGAAGAGACATGAATAGTGTTGTATTATTATTGGTAACGCGCCCTTTCACACAAGAGCCCATTGAACTTGAAGCATCGATAATGCACAGGCCCGCCTACTTTGTGTATAATATTATCAGCCTACTGCCCCAAATGCCCGCGCTAATAGATGAAGACACGTGAATGGTTTCATATTATTTTTTCTATCAAAAACACATTTTCAAGAAGCAAATTCAATAATTTATGGATGCCTTTAACTGACAAAGAAGTAGAAGAATACACAAAAATATAAACGATTTGATATTGTAAAGCGCAGAATAATTTTTCAGGGTTATTCTAACAGTAGGCAAGTTTACTTTAACTAATATCTAAAGTGGGTTATGGAGAAACACACTATGTGATTGACAACATAAACCATAAAGAAGATGAAAAACTACCTTCCTAATATGTTCAAGAGCTTCAGTGCTAGTTTTACACAGATCTGTACAAAGCTGAACCCCAGTGATCAAAACTCCATGGTGTTTCTCCCTAAGTAAGGAAGTAGCAGGATTGATAAAATTATCTGCCAAATCTGGAACTTTCCTTATGATCCTTATAGAGCATAATGCTGCCTATATAGCAGTGGGCACAGTTAATTTATGAGATTTATAAATGATAACTCAAGCAGTTAAATGGAAAAGGTTTCCTAAATAAAACAAAAAATCAAATTACATGACATGTAATTATTTAGCAAATGGGAGTATAAGGATATCAAAAAAACACAGTGATATGGCAACTAATATTAGGCAATGCAACCAGCTTGCTGGATGTCAAGTTCTTAGAAGCGTGCTAATAAGTAGACTTCAATTCAAAATGAAATAAAATGGAACAAGAAAACAGCATTAAACAAAAAATAACGAAAATCGCGAAGAAAGATAAAGGTGATATCAACAACCACCTTGCTTTTTCATATTCAATACCATAACTCCGACATTTTTGCTGTTATATGATCGTGCACTGAGGTTTATTACACATCAGAATATTTTATGTTTGTTGGAAATTCTGCCTTCATTGCGGTCCGCCCCTAGTTGCCTAATTGCGGCATTTGGCTTGCCTTCATTGTAAGCAGTAAGCACCAACACCTGCATTGTGTTGGGTTTGAAGGGGTGGATTTAGTCTCATATTGCTTAGAGAATGACACGTGTAGTGCTTATAAAGCTTGGGCAATCTTCACCCTACAAGCCAGTTTTGTAGAGATGAGTTAAGCTCAACCACACGATCTACGATGGTATCAGAGCCTATACTATATCTGTTGTTGGACTTCCCACATTGTCCACGCTTAGGTCTCAGTAGTGTGAGGGGGTGTGTAGGAAATTCCGCTTTCATTGCAGTCCACCCCTAGTCGCCTAATTGCGGCATTTGCCTTGTCTTCACTGTAGCTTCCAACATCTGCATTATGTTGGGTTTGAAGGAGTGGGTTTAGTCCCACATTGCTTAGAGATATGGCATGTGTAGTGTTTATAAAACCTGGACAGCCCTCACCTTACAAGCCAGTTTTGTAGAGATGAGTTAGGCCCAACCCACACATTCTAAGAATATTAAACAGTTGTGGCACAAACCACCATAAGGTAAGGTTATTTGCTATCATGGTTCACGACCATATAATGAAACTGCAAACTCTTTAAATGGGCATTCAAAATAAAGCATCATAGTTTATGTGTATGAGAATTACTCCCTTGAGCAAAATAAAATAGAAAATTTATCTTCTCAAAGGCATAGTATCGGGAATGATTGAAAATCATATATTAGCCAGAAAACACCAAAACAGAACAGGGAGCCTTAAATCTATGGCAGTTCATGTCTTTCCATTTTTTTCCTATTGGAAATAGTTGGGTAGATGAAAGCTGTCCCATGAATCTTGACTCTGGATAATTTTTTTAAAAAATTGAGATCACACCAAGATGGATGCAAGTAAGTTCACTATTATACAAGGATAAGGATCATCGTCTGATCTTATGGGATATTTTATTTCAGTAAAACCAAGTGTTTGTTGGTTGCTAGATGTAAGTAAGAAAATTAAATAACATGGGTTGTTAGATGTACAGCAGTTCGAAAACTAATCCCTATAAGTGGAGAGAAGTAACAAGTCACTATCTCGACGAAGCATCCACGACCATTTCTCCCGCAATATATAACAAACTAAAAAAACAGCATCTGTACTGTAGTATCTAATGAAATGTATGAAATACATTGAAAAGTTCACCTTCTTCCGAATATTGGGGTCACGAAATTGTAGCAGTCTCTCAACCTCTGGTGCAAGATCACTAGCCATTTCTGCTGAACAAATGTTTCCTAAAGCACAGAGTGCGAGTCCCACTATATACTGGTTTGTGTGATTAAGATCTCTGCAGTTCGGTTAAGGCTTTACAATATAAACAATTATTAACATTTTCCCCTCGTTTTGTTTCAGTAGAAGACCAATATCAGTAACACATTATAAAGTAGAATAGAAAAATCAAGGAATAAAAAAACAAATGAAAATTTGATTAAGAAAAGGATACTGTTTCAAAGAATTGGTGACCAACATTAGAACTTCTTGTCTTTCATCAAGAAGTAACATGAGGCCAAGATAACCTATTCTCTTTTCCGGAAATCCAGGAGACGCGATCAACTTGAGGCACTCCATTTGACCAAAATGTGTCGGGTATCCAAGCATGTGGATGAACATAAGCTTAGCCATATTTCGGTGCCTGTAATCTTGATCATTTTCATTTATTGAAGCACGGATGGCTGCACATTCTTTTCTTACAACACCACGCTCTTCTGCTGCAGTCTTGCAAGCACGTATGGCCCGAATCATGTCCCTAAATATTGGGGATACGAACCAGATAAGTTAAAAACGTACTAGGCGACTAGGGGTTAAAGAAACTAAATATCAAACATTTATGATGTGTAAGTTTCCAGAAACCTGAAAACGTACTAACCATGTATGATTTGGCAAGCAAAAGGTATTTTGAAATAAAAGGTCAATCACAGATTACAATTAAACACACACATAGCTGCAGTAATATGTGGAAAATAAAAGTCCTGCTTGATTCAGTGGTTCTATAGTAGGATTGAAGTTCCAATTCAATAATGCAATGCTTTAAACTTATGTGATTTGATAGAAACTCAATTCAGATAAATGGGAAATGTATTATTGATTGAAATTAAAACTTATTATAGAGAGGACTCCGTATAATCTCAGAGCCAAATGCTCCGAGGAGAGATGATTCTCACTCTGCCCAACCCAAAAGGTTTCTAACCGAAAATTCACACAATGAATTCTCCCTTGCTATCGGTGTCCTTATATAACTAGCCTTCCCCCTTCAGTTATAACCAATTCTCTATTAATCCTTTCTATTGGGCTAAGGCCCAAATCCAGTATCCAATCATGATTGTTGTGGTACTTAATAATCGGGACAACATTGGTGACAGTCTACATATGATGGAGAAAACAGTAATCTATCTTATAATGTGTAAGTCAGGCACTCTCTTGAACCAAAACCCCACCACAAATAATATCTCAACAGTGATATTAGAAAAGAACAACATGTCTGTATACTAATGCCAAATAATTGCCATGGTAGCGTCATTAATGAATAAATTCATATAGTTAACCCCGCCTAGTGCAAAAAATGCTTTAATTTTTCTTACAATATCCAAAATATACAATGTTTTAGAGATATAAAACCTCTGAAGATGTGAAATGTTAAACTTAAGTTAAGTTCGATGACACATGCAATAGTTGAATAACTGCAGCAATATGTATCCGTAGACTAAGCTGACATTTCAACTTAAATGTCTGATTCAGATACTGTAAGAAATCCCTGACCTAGTTAAGCACTTCTAAACCAGAAACTAAAAAAATTCTCGACACAATCACTTACTTTAGCTTAAAATTAATAAAATCTAGAAGCTAAAACTCAAAAAAGAGACATAAATTTCAATCAGATAAAGAAAAATGCGGCGATAATCGAAGAAATTCCGAAACAGATAGCTCTACTCAGCTACAAAATCAGCATGAAGAACAAGCATCTAAAGGCATTGCAGACGCTGATCCGATTCAAGGAGAATGGAAGAAAAAGTAGGATTCAATTGTTTACCTCAAACGCGTCCCTGAAGAGAAAGGATTCATGATTGATGATTCTGTTCGCCGGGAAGTTTATATAACCGGATCCAATTGCGGAGGGAATGAATCGGTGAATCGAGTCGCCGGAATCGGAGATCCGAATCGGAGAAACGATGAAGAAAGGGAAGAGGGATTCGGATCTGATACGAAGAGACTGTGTAGTGAGAGTCTCTCTGAGGTCTGTGAATTTCGGAGAACGACTCAACGCCACCGCACTTTTTCTTTTTTGCAATGTTTTTACAATTTTAACGTTTCTTCCTATGAATTTTCCGAGATAAAAAACAAAATGAAATTTTCAGTGTTAAAAAAGGACCGAATAATTAATAAATTAGATAAATAGGGATAGTTTCGTAATAATCATAATAATGTCTTTGCGAAATTGAGATTAATTAATGGAAATATTTTCCTCAGCTAGAAATATTATAAAGAAAGATATTGATCAATGCTCCACTCTTATTGGTTTCAGAATGTTAAATATTTAAAAAATATTAAATAAATTTTGTGTCATATTAAATTAAAACAATTTGTTTTTTTCTAGAATATTAGAATTCTTTGATATTTAATTAATATTTTTCACACTTATAAAAAATTCAAAAGTATATAAATTTTAATAGATTTTTCCATAATGAAGTGAATTTATATAAATTTTTTAGTTAAAAATATATATTATGGTCCCTCAACAATCTCATTCGAATCTTTGAGATTTTCTACTATTTCAAAAAAAAAAAAATTATCAATAAGATTTATGATTTTTTTTTCAATCATCGTGTTTAATATAATCAAACAAATGTGATGATATATTATTGTTATTAATTTATCTATACTAATCAATTAATAATTTTTATTTTATATTATTATTATTAATTATCAAATAAATAGGTATTATTATTTATTATGTGTTTTTTATTATTTTTTTAATTGAAATATTGTTTTGTTTAAAATAATTTATATTTTTAAAATTTAAATTCATAATTTTTAAGCTAACATCTCCATTTTATTAACTTTAAAAAAATTGAGATAAAAATATAAGTATGTAATGAAAAGTTGTTAGAATTTTGTGATATTTTGGCTAAATTTGAAATTTCAAAAGATTGAGAAATTAATTTTAAAATATTAAAAAATAGGAACTAGTAAAGTTTTAAACTTTTTGATGCCTCTTCACTAAATTTTTAAATTTATCTGGATCAGTTACAATTTTTTAAAAATTTATAAGAAATAGCATGCAATATATTAAAATTTAGAAATGTATTTATAAAAACTAAAAAATAAAAGACAGAGAAAATGATGTATGTATTTTTTTAAGAAAATAATGTATATTTTTTTAAATAGATATATTTTTTAAATAATTGAGAGAAATATAATGATAAACATAATTTTCAATTCACTAATATCAATACCTCTTAATTTTAATTTGATTTTTGACTAGCCCTATAATGAAAGTTTAACTCATGCGGTTTGACTTAATCATTGATAATTATAATGACATGTTTTAATAATCATATTGTATTCAGTAATAAGTGGATTTTAAATAAATTGTTTTTATAAATCAAGAGATGAACGTTATCGGATGCACTGAGTTTTGTCATAAAATTAGCATATTGATTATCTCCACTGAAGATGTGAATAACTTGAAATATAGTGTTTTCAAGCAAGATGTCTCTAATAATTTGGATAAACATGACATGTATGTGATACTTATTTAAGGAGTTTCAATGAGACATATAACAAGTCAAGATTTTTCTTACAAGCAAATGCATTGAAAGAGAGTACAAGGGGTGCCCATATAACAATTGGAATTTCACTACAAAGATAGATTCAAACAGAGATACAAAGCCAAGTCATCAAGGTCTCAAAAGACTATCTAAAGGAGTCACATACATATTATAAAAATTAGCACTACTTGGAGACTTTGAACCTATAATACTCCACATCCACACTTTCCCTTTGATTGAGTATATGATGTTTTCCATGCTGCAAGATTCCTCATTGAAGATTAAGTTGTTCTTGTTAACCACAAACTCCAACAAGTTGCCAATCACACTACATAATCCTTTCTAATTCTGACATTTCACTTCAGTTGATTTCTAAGTTTTATGAAGCCCTCTTAACTTGATTAACATGTTTTTTATGCCATTTGTGTCAAAAACCCACAACTTGCCAAAATTTCCTACTAAAATCATAGTTAAATAGAACATGATTCAGAGTTTCCTCTTCGTGACAGCAGAAAACACAGTTTACATTATTATAATCCTGAAAAATCCCTCTTCGAGCCAACTGAACTTTGTTAGGAAGTTTGTCTTATAGTAATTTCCATCCAAACTGTTTCACATTTTGGGGAACTTCAGTCTTCCAAACAGCTTTTAGTGCTTAAATTTGTCCTTCTTCAAGCTTGTTTTCTTGCTCATCTATGGTTGAATCTCTATATCCCTGTATAAGGATTTAACATGGAAAGTTTTATCTTGTTCTAGTTTCCATTCAAAACAATCAGGCACTTCATGAATTGGATTTACTTCTAAAAAATGGCTTATTAAAGCATCCCTTTGCTGAATCACCTCAAGTATGAGGTCTTATTTCTAATCTAACAACCAAAACCAATTGTTTTCAACCTTTTCCCCCCATTTCTTCTATGGATCCATTTGGCCTTGTGGTGATTTGATAAAGAACCATAAAAACATATTGTTATACCCCAAAATTTGCCCTCGCATTTTTCCACAAGAAATCGCAGCTTCAGGCGTTTCCTGATTTTTCAAACTGGCTCAAGAATCGGTCAAACAGACTTTTCTCGTCAGTCAGGACACAATTAGGGTTTTATTGATTTTTCAGGGCTCTGGAATGTTTCACACAATTGACTTAGGGTTTTGGTTGATTTTGGCTCAACTTTGATCATGCGAACGCTCTTTGGAATTTAATCAGGAATTAGGGTTTTTTGGGCACGTTCTCAGAAGGATTTAAATTCTACGATGCTTTGCAAGTTATTCCAAGATTTGGTTTGAATTCGCATTGTTTGACTTAATCAGTAAAAGAAGGCATTTGGTTTGAATTCACATTTGTTTGTTTGGACCAGTCAAAAGATCCATGCAGTTTGGATTTACAGTGTTTGGTAAAAATCAGTGAAAAGGGAATGCGCCTGATCAGTGTTTTGATTAACTGTTGCTTTGCTTTGGATATTGGAAATGCCAGGTTTAACTGCTCAAATTGCTAAAGCATTGTTTATTTAAATTATTTATTATTCTGAGATTAAGTGATTGGAATTTATTTTTCAATTATTTTAATTCAAAGAATTTTAAATAATAAATAAACAATAAAGGAAATATAATTAATTGGATAATAAAAACCTTTATTTATTTTTAAATTATTCGTACAATTATTGTTTATAATTTAATTACAAGCAATGATTTTACATTAATTTAAATTTAAATAAAAAGAAAACTATCCTAAACATTTTCTATTCTTCAATTCTTCATCTGCTATCCTTTGCTCCCCTCCATTCAATTATTCATCTGCAAAAGGAAAAAAGAAAAGTCAAATAGCAGATAAATAAATAATGACAGATAAATAAAAGACAGTTCATCATTAAGGGCCACTGATTGGGATCAGTTAACCCTCTCTGCAAATCACGGGATTTCTCCCGGTTCACAAAGAGGGACGAATGTTTATTTGCTAAAAATGAATGCACCAAAAGTCAAAATTACACAATTCAAAAATTGTCCAAACTGCATAAGTTCAAGTCTCAAAACTCCAAGTGCAAACCAAACTAGAAGTCCAAACTGAAAAATTCAAACTTGCTGTCAAAATGTCACAAAGCTATTCAAGAGATTTGGAAAGATGTCAAAAGCACAAAATCTGGAAGAAGAGACAAGAATGCAGAGAAAAATTGTTATGCAAGCAAAATACATTTTCTTTTCATCATTTCCCAAAAGAAGGGGCCCTTTCAGAACAAGAAGTACAATGCATAAATAATATCTTAATGCAACTGTACTGAGAGAGAAAGAAGAAGAGAAAAGGAAAGCAGGCTTAGGCTTTAGGCAGGAAGATAATATAAAACAAACTGAACACAATGGATAAAGAGAGAGAGATCAGAAAGATATCAATCAAAGGCCAAGCCAACTGTCAAAACTTTCCAGCCTGCTGAACAAAGGCCAAACCTGTTGAACAAAGGCCAAGCCTACTGAACAAAGGCCAAGCCCACTGAACCAAAGGCCAAACCTGTCTATTATCAAGCAAAACATATAGACAGAAGCAAAAACCTGCAGTAAAAGGGCAGAATATTCACCCAAGTTCAATATACAAGTTCAAAACTCCAACACAAAAAAAAAGAGATCAAAAAGCCTTACCATTTTCAAAACCTGAAGTATCAAAACCTGCTAAACCTCAAGCATTAAACCTGTTAAAGCCTTATCCCTTTCCAAAAACACATAACCATCAAGCTACTGTAAACAAACAAATACCCAGAGCCATAACCAAAACCAGTTGACCCTGCCTGTCAAAGAACCAAAATCACAAACCCAAGGAACTCAGAACTGTCAAACCTGCCTGAAGCAAGCAAGGCCAAGCCTTAAACACAAAAAGCATTAAACCTGCCTAAGATAACCAGTAAAAAACAGCATATGCCTGTAACCTGTAACCTATGTCAAACATCCAGCATCATAACCTGTTAAGGCCATAAAGAAATAAGCTCAAACCAAGTTCAAAGCTAAAAGCCGGTTTCAACACCAATAACCTGCCTATCATCACATTCAAAACGACCAAACCTCTGTCAAGTATCATACCTGCCTAAACACCAACACCATCCAAATCAAACTCAAGGCAACCAAACGCATACTCAGTATCAATACCCAAGGCCCTCAGGATGCCATCATTGGGCAAGCAACAAACATTCCAAAGGCAACAAACATTCAGAGGCATCTCAAGGCAGCATTAACAAATCAAAGAAGCATCTCAAGGCATCCAACACAGGCAACATAAGCATGCATTCAGGGCCCTCAGAACTCTAGGTTCATCCTTGG